TAATTGCATTAAATTAATCATATCATTAAAAATATAAAAAAATAAATTGTGAACTTTTTTTACTTTGGGGGGGGGGGGGGGGAGAGGGAGAGAGAGTAGACTTTTAGGCTTTAATTGTGAAAAATTAATTTTTACCTTTTTTAAAACTTTCAAGTCTTTTAACCATTGGAAAAAGTGAGAAAGAGATGTGAATTGGATATTTGTTTTGGTTTAGGCCTTATAAAAATTTCTATTAAATTGAGCCCTTTAAACCAAAATTTTTGGGCTAATTTAAATTGCAGTTGAAGACTATCCTTATTATTTGGAGTCCTCTTTTTTTGAGGCCCTAAGCAGTTGTTTAAGTGGCCTTTCTATTTGGATGGCATTGATTAAATGTTCTATATTATTAATTTAATGGTCACAACGCATTATATTCTAAAATTATATTTTTAAATTATGTATCAATATTATTAGTGTATGTTTGGTTCAAGTATTAAGGGGGTGAATTAGATTAATTCAACCCAATAATAATATAATACTAAGTTTGGATAAAGTTATAGTGATTTGATATTAATTTTAATTAATTTCGACCCAGTTCACTATTGTCATTTAACATTTAATATTAGACAGTAATGAATATTATATAGTAAGTGGTATTATTTTTAACAAATTAACTATAAAAAATGCAATAATTTCATTATCCTTATAAATTTAGAGGTACACCTTCGTATAAAAGTTACACATTATGTAAATTCTTACCTTCAATATTTGTTTTATCATTTTTAATTTAATACTACACACTATTACTTAATCCAAATATAAATTTGGTATTATGATTATAAATTTATATATTATCCTTAACTTATTATACAAAGATAAGATTAAATAGTACTCTTATTAACATCATTTTATAAATCGAATGATACCTAATTGTCCAATCACATCTTTTATTTGTACTTGAACCAAACATACCCTTTAGGGTTGTGAAATATGAGGGTAAGTCAAGACAGCCCATTCACAGCACCGTCCCTAGGTTACCACAAAAAAATTTAGTCTAATAGGCCTTTTTTTTTTTTTTTGTATTTTAGATATAATCTAATTTTTAGGGTCCAAAGTGGAATTCAAATTAATATATATTTTTGTTGGTCTAGAATTACTCTATTCATGAAAAATAAATCTCTCAAAACCCGATCCCAAAAAAATTATCAAGTTTTGAACTCAAGTTATTTGGATTTATCAGTCATTCCAATCTCCACTAGCCTACCCATTGGGGAGGACGGGTGGAACCCCTCAAGCTATGAAATTCAAAAAATGTTGCATTGGCCATGCAATTTGCCAATAAATTATGTTATAACATCTTTCAAAGTTTACTCTTCAATTACTTACATTGACAAAAAGATTGTTGTCCATTCATGACCCAAATCCACCCAAAATAAAAAAGTATACAATTTATGTGCACCAAAAGTGAGTATCAAATCATTTGTAATCGTTGGATCAATAATGAGACCACAAAATTTTTGATATATTAAGGATACAATATGAAAAATATAATATTTGAATGTGCAAAATCAAAATCTCAAAATCTTTCGAGATGCAAACTACAAAAACCCCTAAAATCATTATTGCATATCATATGTAATAGGTGGGGATTTTGATGACAAACGGGCGGGTTTGTCATACTCTTTTAATAACCGGGTCAACATAAATATGTACAAACACAAAACGAATCCAACTAAATAAAAAATATATACAATTCAATAACTCAACCATATAAACATACAAGTAGATCACGTACAAATTATAATATTATAATACAATACGAATCAGAAACGATGTCAATCCGATATGATATTGATGCATGGGGATGATGTGGGTGATAGCATACAAAAACAAAAAAAACAAAAAACAAAAAACAAATTTAGGGACCATCGTGATTAATACGTCAAAAAGATAGCTCATTGTGTGAAATCCTGTACCGAGCTTGCCAATTTTCACGTGTATTAGACCCACAAGTCTTCTTCAATGCAACCTCACATAAGGTCATTTTGTACACCGACATAAATGCAGTAAATTGATCTGAAATTTCTTAAGTGGGAGATTGACCTTCAAGTATATAAAGCAAGTCTTCTTTCACCTACCCATACGCCTACTCTTGGAAATTGTACGTTGCTCATATTTATTAGGTTTAAAGACAGCCGTAGAGGTGTTCATGGGCCGAGTTATTCACGGGTCCCGTTATTCGGTTTAAAAAAAATAAGCCCGAAATTTGATAGGCCTGATAATTGGCCCGCCCGATCCCAATAACCTTAAAAAAGAGCTTGGGTTTGCCCCCAAATCTATTATCTGGCCCAAGATCCAGTCTGTCAAGCCCGCCCGCCCACATGCCCTACCGAACCCACCTTTCTTTTGAAAAAAAATTATATTTTTAGACCATTAAATTTAAAACTTTGAAATAAGTCTTCCAATATCGAAATTTGAAGTTTTAAAAATTTAGATATTAAAAATAATGTATTATTTTCTTTTTCATGCATTAAATATATAAGTTTTAAATTGTAGAATAATACAAATGATAGATAAGATAATAGGTGTCAACCTAGTTAGAATTTATTCATTTTATAAGATGTAGTTCATTATTTTATTTTTATCAATATTGACTTTATTATTGATTCAAAAATATAATTTACACAAATATTAAGTTACAAAAATATTCATTATTTTTAAATAACGATATTTTTAAAAAAGCCCGCAAGCAGGCCCGCCCAATAGGTTCACGGGTTAGATTGCAGATAGCCTATTTCTACCCGAAGCCCAGCCCCGACCCGTTTGATAACTCACTTGAATAAGGACTTGGTCTTACACTACCAAGGCCCCGCCCAAAAAAAAAAAAATTTCACGGACCTACCCGCCCCGCCCCATGAACACCACTAGACAACAGCCAAGTAAGTGGAGAAAAATAAGATGTTGCGAAATGGAGGATTGCACAACTAGGGCCGGCTCGAGACATTTTGAAATTTAAAGCAAAAATAAATAATGAGGTCTTTTATTTTTTATTTTTTGAAATACAAAAAAAATTATTTAAGTTTTTAATTTAAGCTTTTGTTACCATATTTTAAAAAATTATAATGGTAAGTTTGAATTTGACTTTTTTGAGGGTTTAAGACTTAATTTTCTGTAACTTTAGTTTTACTGTTACAACTTTTTATTTTTTTAAAAAAATCAAAAATTTTAGGACTTTTTAATTTGATGGGTTGAATTAATAGGTTTAATTTGCGTAAATTGAAATCTTATTTTTTGGGCTTAAATCTAATACTCTGTTTGGTACGATGAAAAAGTAAGAGGATGGAAAGCTGGAAGAATGCAAAATTGGAGGAATAAATAAAACATCATGTTTGGTAAGGAATGAAAGTAGGAAAGATGGAAAAGTGGATGGATTAACTTTTCTTCCAACTCACTAAAATCAATCTCTCGAAAATCAGAAGAAAAGTGGATAAAAAGTTAATTATTTGTATTAAGATGTATCTTATTTGTTTATATATCTTATGTATACATTAATTTCATATAAAAATACAATGGTAAAATATGTATATATATTTTAAAAAAATTTAAAAATTAATTTTTTAAAAAATAAAAAATTAAAATTAAAAAAAATATTTTTTTCATTTTAATTAAGGGTGAAAATTTTTGACTCAACACGATAACACGACTCGAACTCGGTACGAAAATAAATAGGTCAACTCGTAACTCAACGCTTGACACGACACAATTAGTTAAATGAGTTAAGTTAGGTTTGACTAATATTCAACACAAACTCGTAACGACTCAACACAAATCTGACACGACACGACTCGACTCTATTGTCATCTCTAATCTTAGGTAGCACAAAAAAAAAATAGTAATTTTTATTTTTTATCCATTCAACCAAACACAAAAAAAAAAGTGTATTTTTTCTATTTTTTATCCTTGAATGATAGAAATTATATCCCTCCAATTTTTCATGTTTTCTACTTTCTATCCTCTCTACTAAACGAAGCATAATTTTTTTGTGGAGCCTATTTCTCATAGATTCAATTTTTTTGGTTTGGACTATTCTTGCACACTTATAAATAATGGGATCTTCTTTTAAGTGGGGTCTGAAACACAGGTTTTATTGGTCTAATGATTGAGCCGGCCATGCACGAAACGAAGTAGACCGGAGTTTTATCAATATGTCTGGTGGAGGATTTCCAATGTATACTTTATAAAGGAATTTTACCACGGTTGAATACATTAATTTCATTGGATTTCTTAGTTGTTGGACCAAAATTAGAGTTATTTATTAGTACCGATCGATAAATAAGTTGTAACCAATGTCTCACTAAGCCCATCTCTTAGTACGGATCAATCCATGGCGACAGTTGATGTTGGGTAAAGTACGTTTAAAATATATATGTATTCTCTTATGTGTGTTCATTTAATTAAAAAAAAAAATCCATGGTTGTAGTTGGTGTATTGCCTCATGTATTCTCTTATGTGTGTTCGGATGTAAAAATATTTGTTTCATTCATTTTGATGCAGTATGTATGTATTGACGGCATTGATTGCATCAATTTACATCATCTTATCATCTTCTTGTAGGATTGTGATACCATGTACTAGTGGCGATATAATATTTACTCCTCAAAATGCTCGCTCTTTCCCAACGGTAAATATCGCTCTTTGAAACAGTTTTCATGCACAGGTCGAAAATTGTACTTCTTTCTAATTGGAAAATGTGAGATTTTTAGGCCTCAAAAATATTAGAAAAAATCTCATTTTGCCCCTAAAAGATATAAATATTCTCAATTTGTCCAATGAATGATTATTTTTTTTATATTGTCCCTCAAAGAAATAAAAACATCGCAATATGGTTTACTGTCTTGTTTTTATTTGGTCGTCCATCTATTTTGTATCAAATCAACCAATCAAGAATCACAAAATAAATGAATGACCAAACAGAAATAAAATGGTGGACCACATTACAACGTTTTTTTTTTTTTGAGGGGCCAATGTGAAAAAACTAATCATTAAGTGGCAAACTAAGGATTTATTACTTTTCAAGGACAAAATGGGATTTATCTAAAAGAACTTTGATCTCGTATTTAGACAAAAAGCAGGCAGCTATGCATTAACTTAGCCTTGATACTGTTTGAAGTACAATCATTAAAGGCTAGAATTCTAGCAAACTGAGAGGATTGAGGAGGCACATAACTTTTGGAAAAACACCCCACACAAATGGAATTCTACGTATTCGTTACCGAATTTTAGTAGTTTATGCACTCAAAAGAAGCAGCAGGAAGGCTGATATGTGGGGTACTCAAAAACTTGGTAACAAGGAAAACCACCATACGAGTAATAATAATTTAGGTAGGGATCAATTTCAGTCTTGGTCTCCGCCTTCTTTTCCTCAACTGCACTGACGTTCATAATCTCGGCAAACCCAATGTTCTTCCTCAGCAACTTGGTGAGTTTGACGGTGTCGATTTCGTCTCCGATCACTTCTAACTCATTATTTTCCTTCCCTTTAAGTGATGCAGACTCCACCCCTGGAAAAAAATTGCATATATGATCTGTATCACACAATAAGGGCTAATTCGAGCAGTTTGAGCTCAGCTGTGGTTGGATTCAGTTTTTGGCTTATTCAAACTACACAATCATTGAATCTGGTCAATTTTTTTTGCTCATTTTATAAACTGATAGAATTATATCTATGGTTCAGCTCGAATAGTTTTGTGTGTATAACCGCTTGTACTTTTATTGTGCAATATTAATTTTTTTTTTTAAACGAGAGCAACACAAGGACTTCCTAAGGGTCACTGCTAAAGTTCGGTCGAGATGCTTGCAAGTTTCTGTTAATCTAAGATTGAGTAATGTTCCGTTTGATAGAAGTGATGGAAAGTACGAGGGATGAAAAATAAGAGAGATACATTTTCAATCTTTCAAGGAAGGAAAGTAGAAATGATACATTTTTTTTCTTGTGTCTTTGGTTGGATGAATAAAAAATAAAAATTCTTATTTTTTATTTTTTATTTTAAATTTTTTTAAAAAAAAGTATAAATACATATTTTATCATTATATTTATATATGAAATTATATATATATATATATATAAAAGGATATATAGACAAATAAGATACATTTCAATACAAATAATTAAATTTTCATTCACTTTTTTTCCAATTTTAGAGGAATTGATTTTGGTGAGTTAGAAAGAAAGTTCATTCATCCACTTTTCAATCTATCATGTTTTCTTTACTTTTCAAATAGAATGTTTTATCTATCCCTCCAATTTTTCATCTTTTTATTTTTCTATCATATCAAACAGAGAATAAGAATCTAAACTTGACATTTGATTTCGATTGGGGCTCAAGCTTGACCAATAACAAACCGAGCTTAAACATACCTACACATAATATCCTTCAAATAAAAAGTGTTAACTCACACTCCAATGAAATTTAGTGCAATTTGGATCCTAAATGCTTGATTCTTGGACTTTAAAAACTGCAAAGTGAACCAAACATAAAACTTGACAAAAAAAAAAAAAACAAGATAAAACATTTAAAATTTTTTTTAAAAAAGAAAGAAACTAAAATAAAAGGCAGAAAAGTTCTTGTTACCAGAGAGACCAACTGCAATTGTCAAGGCCCTTGATTTATTTTTGGTGGCAATTGAATGGGAATCATTGTGTTTTCGTAGTAACCGAGAGATTACTAAGAGGCCCAAGACACGAGCTACAACCTTCATTGCCTTGTTTCGTGACTTCTCGCTGTTCATAGGTACCTTAATGACCACCTTTTGCTGAACAAAATCAAATTTGAATCAGCATGATATCACTTGCTAGAATACTACAAGTAATTTGATTTTTTTTGTAAATAGATATTTTAAAGAAAAAATAATTTCAAAAAAAGAAAAAATAGTGCGTCTTAGGATTATTATCCCTCCAAAAAACAAGAATTAAACTCTTAAATTATAGCTAGCAATGATATATACATATATACACACACACACTAATGTAGTATATTTTGGAAGAGTGATATATATGTATTTCACTATACAACTAGTGCATCTACACATATGTCTACATACTACAAATAAGCGATTAATCTCGAAAAAAAAAAAAGAACAAAGCTACAAAAGAAACATTACCTACTATAATAAATTAAAAATAAATATTTTTCTGAAAAATAATGTAGTAAATAATAACTAATTATACCTTCATAGTCTTGGTTTGGTGGATATGACAATAGTGAGAAGTGAGAACCCACTAGCAGAGAAAAGATGGGGTGTCTGGGATCCGTTGGAGAGACAATTTAAAAGGTCTTTTATGAATGGAAATGCATGAGAGTCGTGTCCTACTATTTATATTAAATCTTTGGGCAAATAGCAGTTTGCACTCCGAAAGTTTAAAAAAATTAATTTTCACCCTTAAAGCTCAATTATTTTAAATTACACTCAATAAAATTAATTAGTATCAATGTGACCCCAGCCATAATGTTCGTTGCAATTTTCATCAAATTTTCAGCCATGTTAGATGCATGTGATGATTTTTGTTGAATTATAACGCTTCTCCTTTTCACTTGTGTCTCGCGTGCCTGACAATTCAATAAAAATCCTCATGGACGTTTTGACTGAGATTGCGATTTTTGTCAAATTGACAAATATGTGAAATACACGTGATGACTTTTGTTAGATTATAGCTCTTTCCCTTTTCACATACATTTCACGTGGTTGTCAATTTGATGAAAATCGCAATGAACATTATGATTGGGGTCACATTGCTACCAATTAGTTTAATTGATGGTGTAATCTGAAACAATTGATTTTTGAGGGTGCAAATTTTTTAAGTTTTTGTGGTGCAAACTGCCATTTGCCCTAAATCTTTTGGGGGTGATTATCAATGTAAAATTTAAGGGTGCCACATTCATTTTAGACATTTCCAGCCAACCTCTTGGAAGAAGGTTGTGCTGTAACTCTGTCAGAAAATGTGATTTCGGTCATCTTAGGTTGTTAGTATGGGCAGGTAACAGTAACATCACAAAGAACCAAACGAAGACGACTAGCCTTTGGCTTTTTCAAGTCACATTTTTATAAATATGTGAGTGCGACATAAATCCTAGATATGTCGAATCACCAATGAATTACACATGTTGGGTAAATCGGAGTTTTTTTTTATGAGAATCGAACTTGAGATATCAAACCAGTAACATTTGAAGAGATTAATTATGTATTTATCTTCATCCATTCTACCGTAGCGAGTTAAATAACAATTGGATTTTTCAATGCTTACACCTATGGCCATAGACGCAATTTATGATGTCAAAAGAGACTAATTGTTAAAATCTCGACCATTTTTTGTACTTTTTCCCTTCAGCAATTTGTTTTGTTCAACTAGGAAAAGAGAGAAAAATTCTTCCATGCCACCTACAAATCGTCCGATATTTTAGTAAAAAAGGGCAAGAAAAAACTATCGCATGGTGATCGAAATATTTCAGAATTATTATCTCGAGATTCTAAGTCCAAACTTGAGAAACGAAATTTTGTTTTCCAAGTAATTGCATTCACCTAAAGTTTACATTACTACGAGTAAAAACAGCATATGATCAAAACGATCACCAATTGTAAGTTAAAAGGGGGAGAGGAGGGTGGGTTCAGAGAACAAATAGAAACAAATAGCACTTTTTTATTAAAAAAATTATTATTATTACAACTACGAGACAGGAGATTCGAGCGGGAGACAAGAGATTCGAGCGGATGACTTTGTTCTTTCAAGGTGGGGTTAACGATCTCAAATAGACCCAAAGTTTTAGTAACACTTACCTTTCATCTGGTTGCGGAATCTTTAAGACTCATAATCATGAGGCAGACGCAACAACAAAAGCAATAGACTTTTCAAAAACATTTATATGGTAATTGTTTGGCTAGCCATGGAGTTCTTCAAATTTAATTTTTTACTTGTCATTTGAGAAGGACATAACACGGTTTGGAAACTACCTATGGTGACTTATCTGTGGAAGTTTGGAATGGAAAGATCGTGATATTTGAGTTTAGACATTTGCGTATATATTTTAGGCACTTTTTTTACGAGTGAATGTTTAAAAACGAGTTTTACCATTAATCACTCCTAAACTCTGATCGCAAATTCGCACTCTGGGAACGAATTTTTTGTGAATTCGCACTGTCATTTTACAAAATTCGCGAATTCGACTAATTCGCTCTGTTATTTACTTATATATTTATTTATTATTACTCAAATTTTTTATTTGGAAAGTACTGACTCAGGCCTAAAGATAGATATTAAACTAGAATAATATTTTGTAAACTATAATTGTCATTTTACGACTTTATAATCCACCTATATTTAAAAATTAAATAATTTGTCTTATAGTTGTACATGAAATTTTAGTTTTTTATATTTTATTTATATTTAACTTTTATGAGTGATTCATGTGCTTATATGCATATAATATGACGTTCTCAATTTTTTTTTTAAATGTAGACGCTTTTGTACTTCTGCTCCCCTGCCCACTTTTGCACTATGCGATCTAAGTTCTATCTATTGATAAATTTGCAAGTAGTACGAGATCGTACTCAATAAGGATGCTACTCTTTATAGTTGAGTCACGGAATGAGCGATGTATAAGTTGAATTTTTATTTTTTTATTTTTGGACAAATCTATGAGTTGAATTAAACATTTTGATTTTCACATATAATGTTCATAGCTAGTAAAAATAAATAAATAAAAATCCAATCTTATGGGGATAACTCAATTAAACTCTATTTTAGAAACTAAAATCTCGATTTCAATTCTTTTCTAATTCGAATCATCGATCAAAACTATCAATCCATAGTGTTAATGATCAAGTCGTTAATCACTAAAATCCAAATTAACATTAGTCTTTCTTCAATGGAAAATGTTGTTTTCCAACAAAAACGAAACAAATACACAATAAAAGCTCTGGTTCAATCAAAGAGCACGTGCATATCAGTGTCAACAAGGACTAGTCATCAGAGACCAGCCAGCCAGCAAGGCTTCTAGTACAAGGAATTTCCAAGTAAACGACGTATTACTTCTGTCCACTTCGAAGCTTTTACACAATAGTTCACATCAACATGTTGTATTGACACTCTGTACGTATGTGTGTGTATATATATATATATGAGGTAATTAATGAGATAGAATGGTTCTATCTTTGCAATTTCATCTCTTCATTTGAAAAAGATGTTCTCATATACTTAATATATGTCTATAATAATTGATTTTAAAAAGTCGTAAATGTGGCCTTTGTTCTTGTAATAGTGTTGCGCTGTTCGACTTTTTTAAATTGATTAATGTGACTTTTTCAAATCAATTAATGTGACACGATCACTATCTCCTATGTTAGAGGGATCCACTAATTTAATGATTCGCTTGAATTATTGACAGAAAATTGACGAGAAAAGTTGGTTAGAAGGATTTTTTTTTTTTTTTTTCATTTTTGGTAAGTTCTTGTGAATGTTTAACGTCACCACTAGTAATACATATTAGAAGCAAGAAGTGGGAAAGGCAAGAAAAAATGCCAATAGGAAACAAAGTTCAAGTTAATTAATTAAGTTAGAAGCAAATATGCAAAATGCCTATAATAAAATTGATGGATTTAGATCCTCCGAGTTTCTAATTTTATCAATTTCTGTCGAAGTTCAATCATACACTATTAAATTTATTTAGACAATTGGGTATTAGTAGAACTCGTAGAAACTCACTTATAATCACTATGAATTTAAAATGGATTATTTAACTTCATCCAAATTTGAAGGGTAAGAATCATAATAGTTAGTCGTTGAATTTTACCATCAGTTTTAATTTAGTCTTCGAACTTTCAATTATCCCGATTTAATCTCTCAACTATTATTTTCATTTTAATTAAGTTCTTTCATCAATTTTCATCATTAGATCAACTGAGTCTAGTCCAATGTGATCCATTTTCAGTGTTAATCTAATGGTAAAAATGGACAGAATGATTTAATTGACACAAAATTGATAGTTGAAGGATTAAATATAGACAATTGAAAGTTCAGAGACCAAGTTAAAACTAAAGACAAAGTTCAGGAACCAGTTATGATTTTTACCCAAATTTGAAATTAAGACAATCTAGGGCCCGAAAAAAAAAACCCCTACTAAAATGCTGCTCAAGGACAATATATTCTTGAGAAAATAAAGATAATTAGCAAACAGAGGATTCCCATGCAAAGTAGGAAAGTCTTCAAGCTATAAAATTCTAAAAATGTTGCATTGACCATCAAAATTTTCGATAAATTATGTTGCAACATGTTCCAAAGTTTACTCTTCAGTTATAATCATTCATAAAATATTGTTGTCCAATACACCTTCGGAATACAAATTCACCTAAAACGTAAATAAAAGACTTTTTTATTTATTCATAGTTTATTAAAATCCATTCATTTTTTTCCCTTTCTGTGCGCGATAATTTTTGTACAATAAATAAAAAGGACATATCTCCCATTTGATGAAAGCAGGGTTTATATGAAAGTCGAGGATCCCAAAGCAAAAGGGAGTGAAAAGGGTCCTAAGGAGTGGTAATGAATTGTCATTCCAACGAATCTTGAAGGAATCTGTCACTCAAAACAAAGAGTTAAAAGGGCGCTGGAGTATTTTTCAGCGTATTCTCTCCGACGTTCAAGTCAGCATGTGAGAGGGGAAGGAGAAAATGCACTATCTATCTTCTGGAATGAAGTTGCTTACTCTTGTCTTCAGTTTCTGAGAGCTATTTATACCTTCATGTGGGTTCTCATGCTAGCAGTGGAGTCCCCCTAAGGAGGAATCCTCATTAGCCCATCTGGGAGGCAATAGATGTGAGTGAACAGTCCTTGGACAGAACGCCTCTTGTCTGGTTTGGGAAGTTACTCAGCATTAAATGCTTAGACCCTCGAGCACTTAATGCCCTTCCACCAAGGCTCTTTGGGTGATAAACACATCACATTCTCCTGAAAGATCATTGAATGCTCTTCTATGATGGCTGCACTCCAGCGGGGGTATTCTTGTCCATTGGCCCCCAACTCTGTACTTTGCATCACGTGTCCGATTCTCTTTGGTCGCTGATCATGTCTTTTCTGCCATCCTAACTCTTTTGGGAAAATAAGTTTAATGATTCATTATCAGATTCTGACTCTGATAGGCTGCAACCATCAATAATCTGCCTTGTGCCTGAGGTGACGAGTTTGAGAACAGACCTTGGGATCTAATAACGCCAAGGACACGTGTTAAAGTCCCAAGGCTCCGAGAACTCATAGGTCGAGGACATGTGTCCTCATTTGAATG